GGTTGGCTACGCCCACCTGCCCAGGCGCTATCCCATCCTATATATTTCGTGTTTTTGTTCACCCGCCCTGTCCTCGCAACCCATGTTTTCCACGCCTCGCCCGATCTACTCACCCTGGCTTGCTGCGCGCAGAATTCCCCTTGTGTTTGCAGCCGCGCGCAAACCCGGATGGCACATGTGCAAAGTGCGCATGTGTGTGCAAAGGGGGCACGCTCACATTTCCGGTTCTGCACTAGGCGAACTGGTTGTTAAAGTATGTGTAGCCCACCTCGGCAACTGCACCCACCAAATCCCTAATTTCAGCTTTTCCCTTTCTTAACTGCCTCCCATCGCTGAGCCTCCACCCTGTCCCAGGAGCAATCAGGTGCAAGCAGGATGTTTTCCGAATTGTCACTTCAGGCATAGGTTGGGTATTTATCTTGTTGGTTTGAACTCCGAGCTTGGCAATTTGGTTGCAAACGATTCGTCCCCATTCAAGGAGACATCTTCAGTGCGCTTTGGATTGGGGGGCGAGCCCTGGCCTTTAAATACCTTTCTGAGTCCTGGTCTGATTACGGGTTGTGTGATTGGCTGGCTGTAGTTGCTGAGTCATAGTCCTTTGGTTTTAAGTACCGTCTGCGCAATGTAAATTGATGCTGGCGTTGTTGTTTGGGTGTCTTCTGATGATGCCATGGTCTGGTTTCGGGTTGATTTGATTGGCTGCGTGTAATGGGGTCCAATTTCTTGTGGTATGCAGTTGCCTTCTTCTCCCAGCCGGGGAGATAAAAGCAGTGCTTTTTCTTTCTCCCAAGCATCTCTCCAGAGTTCATGGCAGTCTTTCACCGCATGGTAGTGAATCACACAAGCAAGCAAGCATCTCTAAGAGCATGGTTTTCAACGTAGGAAATATACAGGTAGTCCTTGACTTACGATCCATTGCTTAATGACCATTTGAAGTTCCGACAGGCCTTCAAGTACCTATCTAAGTGGAGACTGTGGGTCACATGCACCTTAGATGCTCCTTTTACACAGAGATTAGGAAAAAACATATTCTGCCAATAACTGCTAGGTATCCTGGCCCCTCCAATACTACCTATTTTCAGTGGCTGCTTAAGGATGAACAGTCCATAACTACAGCGCAGGTGGCCAGATTCTTCTCAGCAGCACTCGGGATTTGTCGCAGACATGTGTCTTCTCCACCATACTTATGTTATATAACAAATGTGCAAAACCTTTGCACTGCTTAGTCTTTTCCCTTTTAGTGTTGAACCAACAATGGGCCACACAGTTTATGGATTGAATCTGGCTTATTGCGCTTTTAACTTTGCATGGTCACTAAATGAACCGTTTGTAAGTTGAAGCCTTCCTATATGAGGCTCTGTCAGAGTTCCAAGTAATATGTCTACAGCAAACAGGATTCCAAGGCAGGTAGGTTCCTCAAAGAATAGTTTTATTGGACATATCATATTGGCACAAGCGGGTGAAAACCGATTCTGAACGTTCCCGCAGTTTTTACCTAATTAAAAGTAAAAGCTTTTCCCCTTTCCCAACAATCAGTCACATGGTCCAATCAGGATGCTCTCCTGTTGCCTGGTAACATCACTTCTCTATCTGGCTACCTGTGGGAATGTCCTTGGTTCCCAGGAGAAAGTATTTTGTTTTGGCTGCAAAACCCCAGCTATCTCTGTTCCCTCCTCCCTATCCCTCAGCTCCAGTGTGGCAACACCAAAGCCTCAAAATGGCTCCAGTCAGGTCAGCTTCAGAGTTGACAGGCTCTCTCTTGAGGCCTGGCTGCTGAGAGAGTCTCTTTATCACTGTACAGAGTAAAGAGGTTGCAATTTCCTTCTTTGTGTGATAATTGGTGCCTTTCCAAGCAGGTCACAATCCTAGGATTTAACCGGGCCAGTCCATGGTTTGACCAACAGATGTCTGAAACGCCATTCTGTTCCCATAACTTTTATACAGTACATTGAGCTCAACTTCAGAACATGTCCCGGTAATTTTCTTAGTCATAAAACACTTGTAATCCTCAATTTACAAGTATTTGTTTAATGACCATCTGAAATTACAATGGCACTGAAAATAATTATTTGAGACCGGTCCCCACACTTATGGCCGTTGCAGCATCTCCACAGTCATGTGACCAAAATTTGGGCACTTGACAGTTGGCGTGTATTTACAACTGGGAGTCATGCGATCACCATTTGTGACTTTGCCAGCTGGCTTTGACTAGCAAAATCAAGGGGGAAAGCCAGATCCATTTAACAACTAGTTGCATGCTTCACTTAGCAAACGCACTGATTGGCTTAACAACCAGGGCAGAAAAGATTGTGTATGGCTCCCTTAACCACTGCCTTCCTTAGTGATGGAAGATCTGCTCCTAACTGCGGTTATATGTTGAGGATTACCTGTATGGAAGTGCTTTAACATTGACTTCCTCCAGAAGGTTTTTTTCAACTTCCCAGTCAAGGCTCCAGCCCTGACATTTCTTAGGCTCCTCCACCCAGTTACTAACCAGGGACAACTCTGCTTAGTTGGGTCTAGCTGGATTCCAAAGAACAACTGATTAAGCTTGTTGGGGTGGCTTCCTTAACTGGCAGTTTACATTGGCACCGTTCTCTCTTTCTTTGATCAAACATTGCAGTGCAGGCCTTTCCTTTTAAAAAGTCGTACAATGATTTTTCTACTGCTGGACCCAGCTAGAATAACCAATTAGGTTCTATTACAGCAAGAATGTGTGT